TGCGGCCAAGCCGCTATCTCTGTTTAACTATCTAGCATAGTTAAACCTAATCAAATGCATATCGTGTGGCCCTCAGCCTGGCCGCTGTTAACTCTCCGAGTCATGTACTGAGAGTCTGTTAACTCTTTGGGTACTTCGTACCCATGTGTCCGCCACATCCGTGTAACCCCGTTACAGTAGTTTTAATTTTGTTTAAGTGTATAGTTTGAGAAACCGAGCGGAAGGTCAACAGTGAAAGTAATCCTCAGCAAGAGTGAGTAATCCCTTAACCCTTTCGCAATAAAAGGGAAACAGAATGCCCCCTTTTCCTGCTTTTCAACTAAGTACGATGATGTATCTATGTTAAAGGAAGCAAAATGCCTCCTTTTATAATTAAGTACTTTTTTGACAGATCGTTATGGGCATAGAAAAACCAAGTAAATCACACATGGAAGATTTGAAGGTGGACAATCACTCGCATTAAAGGAGGCAAAATGCCTCCTTTTGATACCGACTATCCTAGATTTGTATACTATAGTTCACTAAAGTGGCTCGCGAAAGGGTTAATTGTCACTTTCTGATTTAATTTTTTTGCCGCAGCATTACAGTAAGTTTCCTCAATCACGACTCAAATATTTCTATAACCATGAAAAAATATTTGCACATCCCTTACAATTCGTGTGTTTGCGTATTAAGACTGAATCATACCTCTATCACACAATTCACTTGAGAATTGTATACCAGGCCGGATCTCGCAATTGAGGCAAATGTTTGTATTTGGTTGAGTATTAACTTGCTTTATAATGCTGCATCGGTTTAACAAACATTACGATTAAGTCACATACCTACCACGATACATTATACTCCTGAAACGGTCTTCACTGCTGCATAACCTTTGCTCTTGAATTGCAGACACCTGAAATAACTTGCTACCTGACTTTTTTAGTTTGTGTTCGTGTGATATATGGTTTTGTATCCACGGAATATCTCAGCATGTGGATGAAGCGCCCAGTTCGCTTTCTCCATTCCCAAGCGGCCGAAGATTGTTGTCGGTTCCACTGTCTGCGCCTGCCAATATTTTACGTTGCACCCTCTGGAAGTGCCTTGGCGACAATCTCGGTGGACCACACGATCTTTGATGGAAATTCTCCACTCTTCACTTTGGTCGCTGTTTGGAACGCCATTGCTAAATATATGTCGTCGTATGTCGTTAACAACTTCTTGATCATATCGAACTTCCGATCGGGGTTGTACCGGTTCATCCGCGTAAACGTAACAAAACCAAACGATGAATATCGGGTTTAGAAATAGCTTCTCGACTCTTTCCTCGCCAACGTTAAGCAGATGGAAAATATCATCTGAAGACAATCCATTTAGTACCCTCCCCATTAACAGGAGGCCATGTAAACTACTGGCAATATTGAATGACGTTTGGGTTGGCCTCGCAAGTTCCAGCATTTTAGCCACTTCTAGATTTCCGTCTCCGTAATTATTCCAAGCATTCTCACCATGTTTGTCGGGTTTTCTTTATTGTATAGTACAATGTAGGCACTCCACGTCCGCAGGTTGGGGTTGGCCATTGGAGTTGTCGTTCCTGCACCGAGCTTTAGAGATCTGAAGACGTATTCGGGTGTTTTTATTTCCTCCTTTAGCCAATTGCTGAACTGCTTTCTTTCACTGAACGAGAGTTTGACCTTCAGCAAAAACGCTTTGAACCATTCCAGGACCTTCACTAAACTTGGGATCCCGCCTTACCCTTGAGTACCAGCGCTTCAAACCACTCCTTGAGCTTCGACATGTCTGATATAGCGATGGCACTCTCTTCTTTGCTGTCGTCGACTGCTCGGACATTTCCTAATAGCCTCGTAGTGAGCATTTCGGGCCCCGGACTAGTTGACAATGAAGCGTTGGATGCGGTAAGTGCTCGTGT